GGGGGGGGCTGGACCGCCGCGGGCAGAGGGAGAGGCCGCGTTCGGAGGAGAAAAAGAGAAATAAAATCCGTAGTCAGTGTCGTCACGCGGTGCGAAGGTGTCGAGCGGAGATTAAATCGGCACTGTATGTTGTAGGGGAACCTGTAGGAGAGATGCTGAAACAGGAAGCGTTTTGTTGAGTTTCTTTGGCTGTCACTGTCAGATTTTAGTCCTTTGTTTCGTGTTTAGAACAGATAAAACACAGAATTTGTTTTCTCCACACGCCTATGCAAACTAAACATTAAACTATTACAGGTTAGGAGCAGCGTGGATAGAAAATACACATGTATTAAAGGTCATAATTCTGAGACTGTAAGGGTTGTTTTGATTATTTGATTCAATTTCAGATTTAGTTTCTACCAAAATTATTAGATCGGATGCTGCTGTTACTGCAGAGGGTTTTCTTAGTTGTTTTGCATGGATAGTAACTCACTGGTAACCGGCAAATGCCACCAATCCCCCCTTTATTTATTTATTTATTTACTAAATAGTAGTTTGGTAGGTCTTCACAATTTTATTTGGTGTTTACATGAGCAGTCTTTTTAATTTAGTGCACAGTCAATCTCACAAATCGTTCAGCTGGCCTTTCCAAAGTATCTGACTCTAGGGCGTGTTAAATTGCTGGAAACTTTAAACAAACTTATTTGCCTTAACAAAGCAGATACTTGGAGCTCTGCATTTCCTTCTTACAGCTAATGATTCAAATGTTTCTGTTTTGATACTCTTGTTACCGGCATTGCAATCATGGAAGTTTTTTGTGTAATTTCCTCATTTTGTTTATTCTGACAGCTCAGTTGCTTTTTTGTGTAGCTTTCCAGTTTTGGATTACTAAGTGGTCTAAATATGGTGTTTTGATGTCTGTAGCATAGATTTGTTAGTAATTACTTTTTAAAAGATGGCAATATCTGCATTTAAATTACTATTTAATTTGCTGTAGTATAATAAATAAAACTGCTGTACTTTAGAAGTACAGCACATTCTCAGTAATCTCCAGCAATGCAGTAGGCTGTAGATTCAAACCTGACTTTCAAAATAAGCATACATTAGGCCTTTATTTCCTTTATTTCCTATATGACAGCATGGGTGGTTTTCAGAAGAGCATCTGGAGTGGAAGAAGCATATGTAACTAACCTCACTACAGTTTTGCCTTCTGTTTTCTTTGGGGTCTGATTCAAGTTACGCACTTCATACTTTTCTTCATTTATAAAAGGTTGTTGGAGGTGATCGGGTAGTTAAAAGAAAAATATTTGTTTAGTGTCTCTCATGTGCAAAGAGAAAGCGTTTCCTTGTGATGTATTTCAAGTAATCCTAATAAATTCTTACGTGGTACTGCTGGCTTTTAGTTTTGATTTTCCTTGAGGGAAATTGCATAGTATTTTTCTGTTGGAAAAGAGATTTACTTTGTTATTTCTGTTTAGAAACAACTGGACAGCCACTGCATTTATAAAAACAGGGAGAAAGTTTTCGTTTTGACAGCTATGTTCTCAGTCACTAAATGGAATGTTTGGGCTAACCATTTTTGTGCTGCAGGCTGAAAGTAGCTTCACTGAAGAGGAGGAAGAGAAACTTCAAATTGCTTTTTCATTGGAAAAGCAGGATCTTCATCTAGTTCTTGAAACGATATCATTCATTTTGGAACAGGTACCTACCTTGTTTCTATCCTTACGAATTGATAATTTTTCTTTTTTAATCAGATGGTAGATTTCAAAAACATAGAGGTCAAGTTAAAAAGGAATTAGTGAAAACATGTATCTGTAGTACATTATGTATGTTTTGGAGGCATGATTTTGTTGCTTTTCTTGCATGCCGTCCTGATTTGGACCGGACTCCTTGCATTTGTGGAATGAGTTTCGAGCTAATGTAACTAGAGGTGGTGGAAATGAGCTCTGCATGACTCCGATAGAAGTGTTGATAATTATGAGATACAGTCTCTCCTCTTATTCATTGTAAGCAAGCCAGCTATGCATTTTTTTAATTCCTGTAAGGAAAATATTGCATGGTGTTACTGAGCAGTGCTGAAGTTATGTGAAGTGTCAGTTGTGGAAAACTGTCATGCAGAGAAACAGTCTGTACTTAAGTGAACAGGCATACCTGGTGTAGCTCTGGTCTGAATGAGTGGGTGACTTGCATGATACAGAGCTAAATATCTTGTGAACAGAGAAGGTTTTCTGGTTCTACAGTCTACCACTACTGAGGCTGGTCAGCCAGTGTATTACCTGGTAAATATGGTAACTTTCTTAGAATTTGTCACAGCCATGATGTTGTCCGCCCGTTTCATGCAAGTATGTTAAGTGTAGTGTGTGCAGAGGGCATGCATGCTGATGGTCTGTTGCGGGACTTGTATCTTGTCCTTTCTCACGCATGTCAGTTTATGATTAGTTCGCTTCGTTAACACATTTCACAGCATGATAAAGAAAACAAACAACCCTCCCCATGGCTCCTATCTGCCGAAAAATCAAAAAGAAACCCGAGGTCACATCCAGAGTGGAATTTTTAATTTTCACCTCAATGAAACAGCAAACTTACCTGTTTTATTGCCTGGTCCTAATTTCATCAGGCTGCTTCATTTATGTGACAATTATTGAAGATGAATAGAGAAAGCAATTCAGTCTCCTCTAGGACTTACTTCTTTTGCGTTCAAAAAAAAAAAGAAAAGGAAGGATATTCATAACTGTTTAAAGAAGAGTCCCACATGAAATGCATTTGCTACACTTCTTAGAGTAGCTGCTTGTTCCATCAGAGCATAACTTTTAAAACACCCCTTTGGTGTATGGACACATTATAGATAAGAAGACTACTGCATGGTCTTTGCCGCATGTGTTCTTTCTTTTTGCTTTTTTTCCCCTGCCCTGGTGCTTGTGGAGTCCTGTTTTGCAAGTGGATACCAGCATACAACGTAGAGTGTTTGCCGCAAAAATTGATGCTAATAGGGATGTTATATCTAACTCTTCTTTTTTGGCAAACTGTTCCTGTCTTTTCAGACTATTACCTTGTTCACACTTGATTGAACAGTGTTAATTTGGAAAAGTTGTTCTTTCTTCTCAGTCACAACTGACTTCAAAGGCCGATTTTTTTCAATGATAGCTGCATTGGCATTATGCATAGTAGAAACGTACAGATATACTCAGATCTGGCTTTTATATGCATTTTTTCATAGTTTGTCTGCCTTGAGAAAAGTAATTTGTAATATTGCATGATGAGATGCAATTGAATTAGTTACACGTTTCTATCTTCTCAGTCAGAGGGCTAAGATGAACAGGATGCTTGCAGTCCCACAGTAGGGTTGCTGGTTGAAATATTGTGTGAACTTGGTGGCCATCTGTGATTAGCACATATCTGGCACAACTTGTAGAGCAGTACTCGACAACAGCAGTTATTTTTCCTTTTAACAGGCTGTCTATCATAATTTGAAGCCTGCTTCCTTGCAACAGCAGCTGCAAAGCATTCACCTGGATCAAGACAAAGCTGAAGCATTTGCCAGTGCGTGGACGGCTGCAGGTCAAGATACCATTGAAAAGTTCAGGCAGAGGGTTTTGACCCCTCAGAAGGTAATGTTTGTTTCTAAGAGAGAATAAAGCTGTGTAGGTTTGTTTTAAAGCAAGGAGTTTAAGATACACAATTTGTGACAAGCCAAGGTACTGGAAAATTGAAAAGGGTGCTTATTAGGTAGTATACAAGTGTGATTGCAGCAGTGGAGTTCCATTGTCTTAAAGAGATGTTACGTGGTAGCTGAGCTGCAGTAATTGTTGGAATCTGACTGTATGTGCGCTGTTAGCAGTGTGAAGTAATGCAACCTACGTACCATTAGGAGATGTCTGTGAATGTGCTTTAGAATAGGGCGAGTGTAAAATGTGCTCCTGAACTCTTGTAGCGGTCTAGCTCATGGGTTTGGTTCATCAGCCTGTTTGTTCTCTGTACTTAAAGTGTATCTGAGCTCCTGGCTTCTTTAATTTTGCAAGCTGGTTGCATGCTGCATTTTTGAGATACTTACTGCAGTTCTGAGGTACTTTTCTACCCTGGCATAATAGTCTTGCTTCATTTATGTGCATGTTACCAGTTAAAACTTTGGTACATGCTGTGGAAGTCTCATTGTGTATTTAGGCATAAGTGTCTACATCTATGAGAAGGTGTAACATCCTTCTGTTGATGCATAAGCCTTCAGCTGCATTAGAAGATGTATACAGAAAACATCAGTATCAGCCAGGATAAAGTGGTTTGAAAGACTTGTGGATTACTGACTCAATTATGCTCGCTTTATTTTTATCGTTGATGTATATCTTGTTGGGATAAGGTTCAGTTTGTTACTTTATGATTTGGTTAGTAAAATCTACATGGAAAGTAAATTTTGTGTACAAGGTACACGTGATACACTGACAGAAATAGAAAAACATAATTTATATCAGCAGGTTTACATCTCAGTAAACCCAGAATTTTATTTAGGTGTAAAATGCACATTTTGAGAAGACAAGATGTGCCTGTTGCCCAGACTAAAGATATTCAGAGTTGCCTCACAGATAATTTTTCCAAAGTATTAAAACTTGATCCTTTGTAATACAAACTGGGTAATTGTAGACACAAAACTTGTAGAATTTTCGTGTGTGAAATTACAGTAACTCACGAACCTAACCAAGTAAATGACTGATTATGTAATTATGCAAAAAATATTGGAATTGAACAAGACATTTTGGGTTTCTGTCTCTTTGAGACAGTATTTACCAATGTCAAGCATACAAGTCCCAGAGTTTAAATGGTCAGCAATACAGTGACTATATAGACAAGTATGACTGTCCATTGAAGGCTGTGAGTAACTTGAGAACTGAGTAAAAGCACGGAAGGTTGTAAGCCTAACATTTTAGAATAAAGCATATGTGTACAGGATGGAAGGCAATTCTGAAGAGACCCTACAAAGGAGCTGTAGATTTTTCTTCAGACAGACTGTGCACTAATACATATTTCACTGCTCGGTCTTCAGCATATGAGAAACTAACAAAACACCTTTGATACTCTTTTATTTGGAGCTTGTACCATACACACCTGTGGTTCTTCTGTGACCTAGTTTGGGGATGACATTGCTCAGTTTCTTGTCTGCAGTTTTGCGAGCCTTGCAACATACAATGCTTCTGGTGTATGTTACACTTTTGGAGATCCTTTGTGACCTCACCACAATCACATATAATGGAATGGCATTTTGCTGGTATATTACATCCTGTATGAAGCAGTTTTAAACTGTCATTTGTAACTCCGCTTGCAGAAAAGCAGCTGACAAAAGACCATAGTACAACTCAGTTGTTTTTTAGCATGAAACCAAGTTTAAATACAGGTGTGTGCCTCTACATATGCTTAAAGTGTCATTTCACCCCTTCTTTTTTTTTTCCTAGTTTAAATGACAAATTGAGTATCGATTTGAGTTTGAACTTGAATTTACTTTCTCAGTTCGTTTTGAAAACATCTTAATCCTTTAGACTTCAGTTGAGTGAAAAACTTAAAGTTCAAGAGAACTTTTGCTTAACCCAAAGCCTCAATTCACAGAACTAATTGCTAAATGAAGTATTTATTCTGCTAACAAGGCACACAGAGGTAAAGTATTTTAAGAATTGCATGGGATAATGCAAGAAGAACTTGCCATCTCTGCATAATCTTATAAATCTCCTTGTAATGTCCTATGAGAGCAGTAGATGGCTGCATCATCCCTTCATTATTTCCTTTGGTACTCTGTAAGTAATTGTGTGTCAGCACGTATTTGCTGTGTTATCTTCCTGTACCTTGAGAAATTGTGGGCAAAATATTCTTTTATCTGTGACACATTGTTATAGTAGCTAACTTGCTGTAAACTTTCATCAACATCTCAAATGAAAACAAAGTTAGAATCCTGAAAAATACTTAGACTGGAGTGCTAGCTTTTTAGTTTAGATTTACAATTTAGGTTTTTAGATTGATTTTAGAGCTTATATTAATGTCTTTCTTTGTAAAAGGAGATGTGTATCCAATTATTAATACTCTCTGCTACATGTTTATATGGGTGTAACATTTAAACCTATGGAGCCTGTAAATGTGCCATCTGTATAATAGTTCTTTACGTGGCTGTGTATAAGTTATTGATTTATGCTGTTCACTTCCCTCACAGAGCAATATTAGGTACATAAAAAGTATATGATCATTCTGTTGTCATAATTGTCAGCAACATAATCACAGAATGGTTGAGGTTGGAGGGGGTCTCTGGAGGACATCTGGTCCAGCTTCTGTGCTCAAGCAGGGCCACCTAGAGTCAGCTGCCCAGGACTGTGTCCAGGCAGTGTTTGAACATCTCAAAGGACGTAGACTACACCACCTTCCTGGGCAACCTGGTGCCAGTGCTTGGTCACCTTCAAACTGCGAAAGTGTTTTCCTGTGTTCAGCCACAGCCTCCTGTTTTTCAGTTTGTGCCCGTTGCCTCTGGTCCTGTCGCTGGGCACCACTGAAAAGAGCGTGGCTCTGTCCTCCTCGCACCCTCCCTTCAGGTATTTATATCCAGTGATGAGATGCCCGAGCCCTCTCTTCTCCAGGCTGAACAGTCCCAGCTCTCTCAGCATGTCCTTATAGGAGAGATGCTCCAGTCCCTTCATCATCTTAGTGGCCTTTTGCTGGACTCTCTTCAGTATGGCCATGTCTCTGTTGTACTGGAGAGCCCAAACTCCAGATGTGGCCTCACCAGTGCTGAGTAGAAGGGAAGCATCACCTCCCTCAGCCTGCTGGCAATACTTCTCCTAATGCGGGCCTAGATACCATTAGCTTTCTTTGCTGCAAGGACACATTGTTGGCTCCTGTTCACCCTGGTGTCCTTCATGTCCCCACGTCCTTTTTCACAAAGCTGCTTTCCAGCTGGGTGGCCACCAGCTGATGCCTGGGGTTGTTCTTCCCCAGGTGCAGGACTTTGCACATCTCTTTGTTGAACTTCATGAAGTTCTTGTCAGCGCATTTCTCCAGCCTGTCCAGGTCCCTGTGGATGGCAGCACAGCTCTGTGGTGTATTAGTCACTTGTCCCAGTTTTGTGTCATCTGCAAACCTGGTGAGGTTACATTCTGTCCCATCCTCCAGATCATTGATGAAGGTGTTGAACAGGACTGGACCCAGTATTTACTCTTGGGGTCCACTGCTAGTTACTGGCCTTCAGCTAGACTTTGTTCCTCTGATCACCACCCTCTGGGCCTGGCCATTCAGCCAGTTTTCAATCCACGTCTCTGTCTGCATGATCAGCATATGTCAGCAGCTTATCTATGAGGATCTTACAGGACACAGTGTGTCAGGCCTCCCTGAAGTTAAGACAGACCCTATGCACTGCTCTCACCTTGTCTGCCGAGCCAGTTATTTCATTGTAGAAGTTTATCAAGTTGGTCAAGCATGACTTCCCTGTTGGGAATCGATGCTGACTAGTTGAAGTCAACTTCTTGTTCTTCACATGCCTGGAAAAGGTTTGTGGGCTTAGTTGTTCCATCACCTTCCCGGGGGCTGAGGTGAGACTGACTGGCCTTTAGTTCCCTGGATCCTTCCTCTTGAAGATAGGGGTAACATCTGCTTTTCTTAGGAATCTTGAGGATTGGTATTTGGTGGGGAGAGGATTGGATTTTTTTTGTTGTTTGTTTGGATGGTTAAGACTCTTGATTTATTCATTCTCTGTGCATGTTTTTTTTTCTCAAGCTTACCTTGTAGTTTAGTTAGTGATTCAGATTCCAGAAGTACGGGAGTTAACTGTACTGGATCAGAAAATCTGTTCATTGGGTATTCTGTCTTTGGGACATTGGATGGAAGCCTATCTGTGGAATCTTCTAGGTTACCAGTTTGATGAAAACTTCTGCCTCACCTCATGACTTAAATGCTGCCTTACACCCGCAGAGATGATTGTTTATCACTTTTGAAGTATCCTGCTAAATAAACCTGCGGGTTTCAGTCTGTGTACTTGCCCGATTTCTGATTTTCTACCACTTGAGGGAAAAGTAATATGTATTGATGTTTTTTAAAAATAAGTGTATCTATTATCTTTTGATTTTAGCATATATCCCCTTTTTATTATGAGAAATGCTAGAGAGGAATGTGGTCTTTCTTGTTTTTATTTTAAGCTTTGTAGTCTGTGATTTCTCATTCGCATTCCATGGAAGTTTCCTGCTTTTCATCCTTCATGTTATCTGTCTCTGACATATTTCTCCTATATTTTGGAAGAAACGAATGTGAATAAGATATGATATGGACTTACCTGAAATATTAATACTTATGTGGTGGCGTTAGAAGAAAGGTCTCCCTTAGGGGTCTGGACTGGGACCAATGCTATTTAATATCTTCATCAATGACTTAGTGGAATGGAGTGGACCCTCAGCAAGTTTGTATATGGCACCAAGCTCAGTGGTGCAGTTGATTTGCTAGAGGGAAGTGATGTTGTCTCGAGGGACCTTGACAACCTTAGGGAGTGGGCCCATGTGAACCTCATGAGGTTCAATAAGGCCAAGTGCAAGGTCCTGCAAATGGGTCTGGACAATAACCGGTATTAATACAGACTTGGGGATAAATGGATTGAGAG